CTTGTGACTGGTGTCAACATCTTCCATGAGCTCACCAGAAAAATATGTTCGTGTCGTCCCCGCATGCTTGCGGCTGAGATGGGTTAGCAGGCATCACTCTCCCTGCTGATGCCCATCGTTGTGCGGGGGCTCAGGCAAGAGCCTTGACGCATCAGGTCGCTTCTCAAGAGTCTTTCTTGTCAGAACCCAAGCCGATTATACTTGTAGTGGGGCCACCCACGAAGTACAAGTGTTGCTCCAGTGCAGACTGCAACATGTGACTGGATGAGAATCTGCGCGCTGTACTCCCAAGTTGTTTCCGGCGCAACTGCCTGCAAGTAGCCCGGGCCTACCAACCTTGTGAACTTCCATTCTGAAACGGCTGCATCATCCCATCGCTCGCGCTATCTTCTGGGGTAGCGGTTTGGCATCACGGTTGAAGCGACTTTGCCGGCAAACTGCAATTGATGCCGAGCAAGCAGAACGGAAAAGCTGCTGCACTAACTCCAGATGACGAGCACCCAGAGGTTTCATTTCGTCCTCAGGATCTGCGCTGAATTAGGCCAAAAGAATCACCTTAGCTACAAACAGACGTGTTGCATTCGTGTCAGGGAAAGAGAGCCGGCGAGTAAAAAATGGTCTGCTCAGATCTTTGGCCGGTTCCTGAGACTCTCTGACTCAGGCTGTCATCCGTGACCTTTCTAGATTGCGACTTGTTCTGTCCGATCTTGTATGGTTGTAGGCCCTCAGTTGAGGTTGAAGCGCACGGATCTCAATATAACAAGAAGACATTCTCAACAGGCAAGCGCTAACAGGCTTCCCAATTTCAATTGGAGATGCGCGTGCTTTGTTCTGCCGACCCTTGCAAACACAGAGTGGCACAGAGAACCGCTGGACTCTGGCAGAAGACTTCTTCCGTTTCAGGGCCGATGTGTTCTAACTTCTTTTTTTATGAAACAAGAAGAAGAGTACAAGGTTGCCTAGCAGGCCGACAACCACCTCACCTGTACGTACCTGTACGACAGTATCACAACATGCAAATTTCGGAGCAACTGACCAACTATGTGCGAACCTGAATGCACATGCAGTGCCTCCATCTTTTTGGTGCGTGCACCAGGATCCACTTCGCAGCTGGTCCAAAACGCCGGCAGCCCAGAAGACATGGCCCGCACAAAGACAAGGCTTGGAATCGAACAAACTGCCATAAGAGTCAAAGCCTACGCGCCCGTCTTGGGCTCTGCCGCCCATCTGCAACTCTAAACTAAAATGCCTAGCGTTGTCCGGTCTCAGTGCTGGGACGCTGGGACGAATGCCGATGCCCTGACAAGGGTTGGATAGCCCAGAAGAGGGGGATCTTACCGCTAGATAGGGGTGCCCAAATTGAGTGACATGCTTGTGCTTGTGCTCTTCTTGGTAGTCGCTTTCTGGAGTTGCTAACAGACAGTGGCAAGGGGTGAACCTGAAGCTCATGGCAACCAAGGCCTCAAAACTTGTCCCTGAGCATGAGGGCAGCAGCTGGTGCTCAATCAAATCTGCGTTGTTGTAGAGTTAAACTTTGATATTGTGCTTGTCTGCTTGGCCGATCAACCGGCTTTGCAGCAAAGCATCATGGAAGCAACGCCGCATGCCCAGGTAGACTTCATGAAGCCGTACCTGCCAATGGTTGCCACGTTCTCAGCACGACTGCGCTGGAGGAGCATATGCCAACGACTAAAAAATCTTCCGAGTATGCTTGGGGCATGTATCTGTGGAAGACATCTGCTAGTGTGTTGCCAGGCTCTTAGGTCACAACAGTGGCGACACCACGCCTCAGCTCTGTGATTGGAAATCGAGGCCCCCATGTTGGAGCAGGCTTTGTTTGATCCTGTGGCGGAGGCGCGATGCAAATGTTCAGGCTCACTGGCTCCTGCAGGCAACAAAGATAATGTTTGACTGTTGGAAATACGAACACTTGCAAGAATGCGCAAGAAGCCCCAACTGGTAATTTTTGATGCAGCCAGTGATGCTATGCGCCTCCATGGTACTCCGCAAGCCAGCCACCTCACCGGGCCATGACATCATGATGACTGGCACATAGCAACTTGTCGCGGAGACGGCTGATTCAAAGGGGCCGCACGTGATCTCCATGCCTAGCCAAAGATATGTCAAGTTGCCCAGCTCATGTCAGAGCAGCCCTTCAATCTTTTTCTGTTCGCGACATGGCGGCAGTATACAAATTGCTGACGGAAACCTAGAAGCTGCTCAGAATTCATTTCCTAAATGCTTCCGATAAGTGCAACCTTGTTTTCAACTTCCCATAGCTAGAGCTCAGCTCGCAACCTGCCATCTCGGGATGCGTAGGTCAAGCGCGAAGCTGCGAAGACCTTTGGCGTCATGGAGCAGGCAGCAACCAATAGTTGCCGAGGGGTTATGTCCCGTCTTGGGTGCCCGTCGGGAACCGCGTTTCTAGATGAAATCTCGGCACGCCCATGAAGGCTCCCATTAAGGCTTGCATGGGGAATTGCTGAATAGCAAAGAAGCAAGAAGGAGATTGTTGTGTCAGAGCTAGTTCTGTCGGTGAAAGTCCCAAAGAAATATGCAGGTACAAGTGTTGACCAATGAAGCATCCTGGGGATGGGATGTGGACGTTAATCGGATGAAAAAAGGGTTCTCTGACACTCCATAATATGCTAGAAGCTGAGCTGATCGTCATCTTACAGAGCCATTGTTTGGCATGCCAAGAGCTCGCAAGGCAGGCGCCAAGCCAGCTCTACATGAACTCCCTGTGCCTTGTTGCTTTGCCGAGGTTCTCCCCCAGTACTCCCAGCAGAAGATTCAGCCCTGGCTGTTTGGAAAGCTCCGGGGAGGCCTGAGCCCGCACGTGATTAAATGAAGTTTTTTCTACATGTAGGGATTCGGGGGTTTGAAGGAAGAAAGAACGAGAGTAAGACTGAAAAAAAAGCAGCAGCAAGAAATAAATGAAGGAAAAAACACAGCTGCGCCCTCCCCCAAGCCATCCGCTGTTTTTAAGCCGTGCCAGCCAGTGCCAGCTGACCTCAAAAAAGACTCGCCCCATCATCGTTCCTGTCGTTCACCCGGACAGCACGTCATCCAAGCATTGTGTTTGTCAAATTTGCAAATGGGGGGGGGCTGCGCCTTCCCAACCCCCCTCCCCTCCCACTTTGGTTTGAACCGTGCAAGCTGACATCAAAGGAGACCGACTCTCCTCGATGGCAAGCCAGCCCAGCAGTTTAGTTGGCACCTTGCATTAGAGCCTCGTCCCGTCACCGTGTTGGCAGGAGGTCGCTTGTAAGCGTGCGTTTCAATAGTTCACGGAGGCAGCATGTCATCCAATCATTACAGGGTGTGCACCCTCCCAGCCCACACCACCCGTTTTTTAGCCGCGCATGCTGACACCGAAACAGATCCGACCCTCCTCGATGGCAATCGCACCTCGTGTAAGAGCCTCGTGCCGTTATCGCGTTGGCAGGAGTTGCCTTTAAAAGTTCTAAAACATCAACGGGGAAGCATGTCATTCAATCATTATGTTTCCGCAATTCCGAGCCCCCAGACCCGGAACTCGAAATCTCAGTCTTTCTGCGGAAAGCATGCCCGAAGAACCTTTCCAAGCACCAAGACCAAAAAATACGCAAAAAAGCCGGAAGCTCCTCCAAACAATGAGGACAGCATGCCTTGAGAGCCTTTCCAATCACCAAAACCAAAAAAAATGGAAAATAAAGCCAAAAGATGCGTAAAAACTTGGCTCGTAGCTCTGAAGAAAATCCGACTGACAAAGGAAATTGAAAACACCTGGTATGCAAATTAAAAGTAGCTATGCCTGCAATACTCACAGGGCTGGCAGCCCCGTGAATGCCCGTGGTGCACCAGGTGAGCAGGGCGAACAGACCGGCGCTCAGTCTTGGGTTCAGCCGTGGTTTCGTTTTGATGGCTGTGCGCTTCCATTCAGGCAGTTGACGGTCTTTGGTCGTGGCTGTTTTCACTTGTCCAGCTGCACAAAGGATGACAGCTAGCTAGTTGTTGAGGTAGTCCCTGGCAGCATGACACCGTGCCATGCCCTGCCCAACAGCATTAAACCTGCCTGGGCGAAAGAAGCACCACGTAAGAGAATTCAAATGTAAAGCTCCTTGACGAAGGCACATTTTTCAAAGTAAAACTGGCAGTGTGAGCCTCTGAGAGGAAGTTTGCCACATGCTTTGATTCCAGTCTCATGCAGTCTTTTTTTTTGCCTTTTACGTATGAGTGCAGAGTAGAGCGAAATGAAGCTGATCATTACGTGTGCGCATAGCTTTGAATGAGAATCTGTGTTGCAACGAACTAAGCAGGTCTTAGGATGTGAGGCTCAAGACTTTCTACATCTCATAAATCTGTGGGAGGATGTCTGGCGATGTGAAAATCAATGTCGCAAAACGGTTGGCTTGCCGTGCTCGGCTGTCCTTGTTCAAACCAGTTCTGTGAGTCTGTCCCATGCACACCTGTCCAAAGAAGAGCAAACGACAGCCTTGCCTTTAGAAACCTGCCAGTGAGCTCAGGGAAGCTGCATTTTGTGGATTGGGGGCTGCAACGGGACACAAAGGGACAAATTACTCGCTCTAGCTTTCAAAGCTGCTCCCCCAAACGATCCAAAAACATCGGAGGTTCAACCCCCGCAGACCCCTCATTCAGCCTATACAGTTTCTCGCCTTGACGCCATGGTTTCCATCAAGGAGCGTTGCCTGGACTGGCTGCTGGTCGCATCAAGGCCTTCTTTTTGCATCTAGGCCTCGGCGCTAGTTGATGTCAGCTTTGCAGACCTGAGGCAAGGAGACAGCTGGTGGCTGCCACTAGTGCTGCTGGCAGCAGCTGCCCCAGCCGCTGGAGTGATTGGCCTTCTGTGCGTGTGCCGTCTGCCGTTCACATGTGCAAAGATTCAAAGCACATGTCCCATCATGTCTTCAACTGAACCCCTGAGGGCTCAAATCGCCAAGGTAGAAGCTAAGAGTGAATCAGCTTCCGACATTTCACACATTTCTGTTGCAGCCGCAATGCCGCGAGCTGAGTTCCAAATCGAGCAGGTTCACCTGACCGGCTGTCATTGGGGAGAGCTGCGCTTGACAGATCAGGAGCTCTCTGCTCTGCGGCGGTACCTCAAAGCTTTGGGGGTGTCTGCGGAGGTGGAGCTGGAGCCTTGCCAAAGTGAGGAGGAGGAGCAAGAACAGGGACAGCCTGTTGTGCGGGCAAAGCCGCCAGTGGTTATTCCCGTCCCAAGAGACTACCGCACAAAGAGGCCACTGGATGAGGATACAGAGTCCACTTCCTGCAAGAAGTTCAGGGGAGTGGGCAGCCCGTCGGCATCCGACACAACGTCCACGCTGACGACGCCCACACCAGATAGCATGAGCACGTGCGCTGAGGACACGGGCTCAGAAGCCTCTTCGTGGTTGCAGAGCCCAAAAGTGCAACAGTCTCCGCGTGCCGGCGATGATCATAGAGTCTCCTGAAATGCTTTTTGCAGGCAAGTGACAAGTGGAGCTGCTTTTGCAGAAGCCGCAGAAAGGGCAATCGGTGCAATTTGGCTTTTGACCTCCCAAGGAGGCCATAGTTTCTCAGAAGGCCGTCAGTGCTTTGCAAAGCAGCCACTCGCCAGTCGGGAACTTGAAGTTGTGTACATAGAAATGTCAAGAAGAAGATGTTTGCCTCGTCGAGTTGCGCACTAAGCTCAACCAGGAATTGGCCACCGTGCCTTCGGGAGATCTCAAAACCATGGCCCCTGCACAAGACCTGATGTAGTAGGGCAAGCGTAGAAGAAGCCGGCATTTTTGAGACCCTCCCGCTGTATGTTGATGTTTGAAGCGAAAGAGAAGAAAATGGAAGTGCGGCCAGTTCTGTCACTTGTGTCACTGGCTGCATCCAGGCATTCTTCGAATGTCATTACGGTAAATGGAGCCCTTTGTGGTGAGTGCGCTTGAGGTTTGCACCCTGAATTCCATCACTGGCGGAGTGCTTACCTGGTCTGTTGGCATGGTACAGACGCTTGATGGCAGAGCAATTGCAGTCAACCTGGGCAAGCCGGAGCTCAGAGCTCGAGAGGTAGATTCCCCGCCTTTGTTCCAAGCCGTCCGTAGCAAACTTTACCCTGCTGTACCCGCTGGCAGTGAAAAAAACAATTACCTCACTACTCGAGCCCAAAGGAAGTAGCAAGCTTCAGCAAGGCCGAACACTGAACTCCTGCAGATCCTACCAGTAGCAGCTTGTGGGCAGTTGTGCAACGTTATCCTGATGCACTACGCCTATCTATAGTGGTTACGCTCATGTGCTTTTATGGTTCGCCGCCAAGGATGGCATTGTTCAACATCATTGCAACTTGGCGGTGAGAGCAGCATCGTAGATCATCGTAGTAACTATAGGAAAGTCGTTTTCCGACCAGGGAAGCTTGTGCAGAGCAGAGTTCTCACAGATCTTGCTTCCAAATTCACTAGATTGCAAGCTCGGGCCTTTTCGGCGGGGAACTGTTTGCCGTTGGCTCGTCGTTCCTGCAGTAGCCAACTTTCAGCAGATTCTGAGTTTAGAGCTGAAGCTTAAGGCTAGGCTACTGGGCTCGGATGCGGGCTACTGGTTGTTGAAGCCGGGTATTGCAGCAAAGCTACCGTAGAGTTGGAATGAATCAATGTATGCAACGCAGGTGCATATGAATATGCCAGGAAAGTATGGGTATTGATGCTGGGCAGTTGGTTCCTTCCAATTCGGCATATCAAGGTCTTGTCGCGGCGCATCACCTTCTTCATTGCCCCGCTGATGCTGAGCACAGGGTCTCTGCTGGCTGGCTACTTCTATGTGCAGATAATGATGCTCGGAGTTCAATCGCTTAGGATGTTGTGCACCCAGTCAGCAGTCTGGAATGATGATGAGCTGAAATCCGGAGACGACGTAAGGAGCCTCGCTAAAGAGCACAGACACAAGAAACGTCAGAGCAGCCTTATACAGTCATTTCCGAAGCAATGCCCAAGTTAAATCTGAAGATTCGCAAGGAAGTCAGAAGGCCAAAGAGCACTGTTGGCGAAGGCATTGCGTTGAGTCTGTGGAGCAGAAGCACAAGTTCCGAGCATTCATAACTGGTAGGATTCCAAATCTTATTCATGAAGAGAAACTTATTCTCTGTTTCGCTCTACGTCTAATGATAGGAGGAATCAAGAGAGGTATATCCAAGAGCGAAGTTGCCAGATAATTGTATATACATCTCCTGCACGCGTTGTGGTCGGAGGGGTGACGGGTGGTGGCGGCGGCAGCGGCGGCAGCGGTGGCTGTGGCGGAGTGGCTTAGCTGAGGGCACTGGCGGCGGCGGTGGTGATGCTGGTGGCGGCGGCGGCGGGGGTGGTGTTGGCACTGGTGCTGACGAGGACCCTATCTGACCTCACGTGATGTTGACTGTTCTATGTATGTCTGACTTCTGTAGTTCATATCTTGACTCTACTTCGTTGCACCATGGCTTGATCGTTTCTGCGCTCTGATTTTCTGCTGTGTAAGTACATCTTGGAACTGGGTGAGGTGACGGCATGAAGCAACTACCTAGACATTGTCAAGGCAAGTAAAGGAACCTCTGTAATTCAGCCTTCATGTGGTCATTGCATTTGTCTGCTGTACACGTGCACGGTAGAGCATCTTCTGTCTGGCGAAGCTTGCTCGGAGGCTGGCGTGGAAGACTCAGAGTGGCTGGCGAAGGTTTTGTGCTCATGTTCTTACTTGTAGGTCTATCATTGCCTCCCCGGCCCTGGCACCATTCTGTTCCTACTGTTGAACATACCCCAGAACCTTCAGCAGTCTTCAAGGAGCATTTCTCACTGATGTCATCTGATCGCAACTGCTTCAGCTGATGCGATGGTAGCGAGGATCATTCTGATGTTTTGTTTTGGAAAACAAGAGTATGTTGGACAGGCACGCGAATGGGCCAAAGATTGGGGAGTCCTCGGTCTGGTTGGTATGCAGGCGCCAGCTACAACTCTGCGGCCAATCTTCTAGTCATCCTAGTCCCTGTAACGTCAAATCTGCAGCGTGTCTACGCCAATCAGGTGGTCCCCGTGCCTATTCCCACAGCCGTCATTGTGATCGCCGGCGTGCTCGCTGGCATGGATGAGTTCAAGATCCTTGTGCTTCGGCTTCATCTTGCTGCAATGCTGTTTCTGCAGCCTACTTTCCGACTGAAAAACCTTACTTAGCAGCCACATTGATCAAGCACTTCTTGCACGACTACTGTTGCGTGATCAGGCCACAGTGTTCATCAGCAAGCCCCTTGGACAGGACATGGACTTGCAAGAGTGCCAGCTACAGGTAGCGAACCAAACGTAGCAAATGCAAAGGTGGGCCTGTGATCTTGACAAGCCAGAAGTTTTGGACCAGAAGCTCTGTCCGCCAAGCTTCCAGGTTCATTCAACTGACCCTGGGTGCAGTTGCCATGAAGTACATGACGGAGCACCAGACCCCTGAAGAGCTTCTCGTCATCAACATGTATCATGCGTCTTTAACGCCTTCCTATGCAAGCAGTGGACAAAGAAGTTCCGTTGCGGTTCACGGGACAAAGGAGTTCCGTTGCGGTTCACGGACGTGCATAGCCAGATATCTGGTAAATTTGTCTAAGACCATGTCAAGGCTCATCCGGCAGCAGATGGCTGGCAACGAGGCTGAGGCTGCGAAGAAGGCCGAGTAGACTTCCCGCGCCTAGACCGTGCACACGCGCAGTGGAATGGCTGGCTGGAGCGCCAGCGCTCACGAAAGGGGCAGCGGAGAAGACCCAACTGGCTCTTGAGAGAATTTCTGGGTTCAAGAGATGTGAAGAGCAGCTCCATCTTGGGCCAGACACGCACTAAAGGCACACAAGTTAGGAACCCAGAGCCTGCAGACACCGTATGCATGAAGCTCCGGGGAGGCCTGGGCGGTTGCAGGATGCAAGAAAAAAGGGGTGCTCTTGTCAGTTCTGGATGTGTGCAACGCTGAAGCCGCATGACTTACTGACAAGAACTGCCTTACCTCCTCGCCCTCAGTTGAGTCTCGAGTAAGGATGGGAGCTGCGCTGGCCCTGGCCGAGACTCTAACAAAGATGGACAAGGCGAGGCCTGCTGCGTTTTTTTTGGTTGCGGTTGAGGGAAGTGGCGTGCCCTTGTGTGTCAATGCAAAGGTCCACCACATACCTAAGTGACGACCCAGCTCATGATAGCTTGAATGAACTTCGAAGGGATCACGGCTTTCGAGGCCTGCTGGAACGCAACTCCCCTGACTTCAAATGCACGGCTTCAAGACTGCCGACCCTACGGATGCTTTTCACTCTCAAGTTTGTTTGGGTTCTGGCTCCGAATGCAGTGTGTAGGCTGGGAATTGGAGTGGTGCAGAATCATTTGGTACCAGCTTGGCTGACGAGAGGACCTTGCAGCAACCTACATCGGAGAGCTCCAAGCTGGCGCTGCTGACGCGAAGTGGCAAGTGAGGCTCAAGATGCATCCTGCTTATTGGAGAGACTTTTTTTTTGCGGGAGGCGCAAGCAGACCTTGGATATGCACTTTCTTTGTTACATCAGCAAGTCTTCTTTTCTGCGAGTGGCTCCAGGAGGGTTAGAACCGGTAGTACACGGGGGGGGCAAGGCCATGGACATCACATTGCCCCAGCCGCTGCAAAGCTTGGCGGCACCCTATTTGCGGGAGGGCTTCGATGCCTCTCCCTACCCGGCCAAACAGGAGCAGGACACCCCAAGCCCAGTATGGATGATCCGACTATTCAAAACGCAGCCTTGCAACGTGGAGGGGAGGCATGACCACCGATCTTGTCCATGGTACCACGGTGAGCGTGAGAGGAGGCGGCCAGTGTTTACCGATGCTCAGTCCCTGGCCTATGCGAGCGTGCCATGCGAGCTACAGTTTGACGATGAGGGGAGCTGCCCTTACGGCGATCAGTGTGGGCAGTGTCACAGCAATACTGAGCTCCTGTACCATCCTGACCTCTACAAGAAGCGATTTTGCCATCAACAGCGTAACTGTCCCCGGGGGAAGTTCTGCGCCTTTGCACACTGCCGTGAGGAATTGCTTGCGCCCAATTTCTCTCAAGAGGAGGAGAACAATCCCACAGAAGACTTTATGGCCCTTCGCTTCAAAACGCAGTGCTGGGCTCGGCTTTGGGAACAGTGCGGAAAAGCATGGGACTGCGTTTAACATTTTAGCCTGACTTCTTGTATGAGTGTCGTATGCCTGACAAGCAAGGTGGTGCCCACTTGGTGGTCCACACAATTGGGAGAACTGCGTCTATGCCCATACCTACCGGGATTTCCGCCGCGTGCCCGTGCTCGGGTATTCATCGCTGCCTTGCCCACGCTGGGCGATGAGTACGAAACAGAGCCTTTTCTAATAGTTCAGATTCATTGGTGCGTTTAGCCAATGCTGTTGTCTTTTGCATTATAACCGCGGGATACCGTGGCATGGCCTCAAAGCTTTTGCTTACCTGTTTAGTGTCCTTTTTGCCTATTCCTGTCATCTTGCCCCCTCAACCAGTCAACCTCAGATTTTTCAGGAATGCGGCGGACACAGACTATCTGACACGCTGTCACCTGGGCTTCGCATGCCCCCTGGCCCACGGTGCCAAGGAGCAACTCTACCATCCCAGGTTCTACAAGGCAAGCACTTCTTGAAGTGACCACACACTCCTGAAGGGAGCCTCTGCAAAGTGATAACAATGATTACAAAGATTTGTGTAAAAAAATAGACGTAGCTTTTTGTTTTTTCGTACAGAGGCCAACCCTTGCAGTGATCGACGTTGCCAGCGGGCAGTGCTATGCGCTTTCACCCATGGGGAACCCCCCAGGACTCGAGCCGAGCGCCGAAAATCACAGAAACCCAGCAAGCCCATGCCCATCCCGGATGCAGAGCAATTGCTGGCCCAGTTTCAGCCGAACTTTGGTCGACCTCCAGTGTATCAGGCACAAGAAGAACAGAAGCCACAGAAGCCGCAGGTCAGGAGGAAGGAGATCCGCAAATCGGCAAGCGAGATTCCCATTGCCCTTCATGAAGCTGAAGGCTTTCCAGGTTTGTCTGGCAATCTCGAGCCAAGCTTCCTGTCCGTGACGCCATCTTGGAACCATCCCCAGACTCCCATCCTCCCAGTCTCCCCCTGCTCCGGCGGCAGCTTCACAACCTTGGCCTCCGTGAACCGGGCATCCTTCGAATCAATGCCAAGCTTTACCCCTAGCTATGACCGGCTGAAGATCCCTAAGCCCAACCTGGAGACTGACTCCAATGGCTGGCGAACCAACTCCTCCTTCGGCCCTGGCACACCCATAGCCTCCTTGCCGTCCACGCCAAGATCAGTAGTGCCCTCTTCCAGCACGAGGCCGGGAGCTCTGAACATGAGATCTCCACCAAAGTGGACCAAGTAGTTTGACAGGCCTTAAAAACAATCCAAAGCCGTTTTGAAGACCTTGATGGCTGTTCTGTACCAGGTCAGGCTCAACGCGTGTCGCAGAAACCTCTGAGGGCTTCGGCTCACCCGTGGCAGCTCTTCCAATACCAGTTGCATTGCTTCAAGCTTGAGGTGAGACGTTTGAGGCTCTGATGCAGGTTGCAGGCATGACTCGACACTTGACAATTGCCTGGCTTGAGGGATTGCTCGACAGGATTGGCAGCACGTAGAGCTCGCCACAGCCTGCTCAGCGTGTCTGGGACAGTTTTTCAGACGGGGCAGCCAGAGGTAGTGGAACGGACAGCTTGGATCACATCGTTTCCTATTTTAAATGCCTGGCGCTTGAAGTCCTTCGGCCGGTTAGACCCGTCGCCTCCCACCAGTTCTCCCGTGCTTAGACTACTTATTCACACAGCCAAGCGCAGGCTAGGCTGTGAAGTCTCGGGGTCCTGGAAGTACATCACGAAAAATTGCAGTAGTTAGCTACCAGCTACCAGAACCCTTATGTAGTTCCAAGGACTCCTGTAGCATGCTGTTGCAATGTTGGATTGCCACATTGCTCAGATCTAGGCGCATTTGCCAGACTGTCATCCCCAAGGGATGCTGGCCCATTAACGGACAAACATATGCGAAACTTTCATGGGGTTGAGGCACTCTTTTTCTCAATAGTGCAGAAGTCTAGCTAGCACCTCAAACAGAGCCAGGAACGTAAGAATCTAACTTGGATGCAGACGTGCCTGAAGCAGCTCGAGCCTAGAAGCTTCTCTTGGGTTCTTCTCGCGCGCCAGAGCATGTGGCACAACTTGACATCAACATAAATCCGTTATGGTCATGAATCAATGAGCGCTCCAACTGCCACAACATGATTGTTGCAGCGAAGGCGTTAACCGCCAGCGGCACTGATGCAGTCATTCTTTTTCCTTCCGCCTTTGGTTTCGTAAGATTTGCACAGGCGTGGCTTCTTAGAGCTCATGGACACCATGCCGCAGGTCCAGGGCCTGGGAGTTCAGAGAAGTTGTCCTCGTGCTCAGAAAGTTCTCAGTACTGATGCAAGCAGCATGAACGCAAAAGTCAGAGAAACCGTGCTGGGAGACAGCCAGCACACAAACACTTACAGGACCAGCAAGAATCACGGCGCCAGTACACACTGAAAAAAGCTCCGAAGCCCCTTCTTTTCCGCCTGCAGATTTCGGGTATGGGGTGTAGGTCCGCGGCTTCGAGCTTCAGGTGCTGAGAAGGAGTGATTCGTATTACGCATCATTACACCAGTGATTTTGTGCAGAAACGCTTGTGGTTTAAGCTGATAGAGTTCCTGCTTTCGTGTTAGCAAGCAAGTAGAAACATCCTAAGTGACAGGGAGCAATGCTAGCAATGCTGACGCTGATTCATGGTTCATGTTCTAAGGCCATGAAGATGGATTTCGCCCCGTACATTGAGCAGCTGTTTCCACCTATGCTAATGGGAATTACAGGCACGCAGCCTGAACGTTGCTTGTTGTTACGCGCAGGCAGCCATGCTGAGGTGAGAGTGTAAACCTTGAGCCTAGAGCATTTGCGCAAAGCAGCAAGGGGGAGCGTGCTTGACACGTCAGATTTCCGGCCCACACTTCGCTGCCAGGCGACAAGGATCAGAACGAGGAAGCGCATCTTGTTCACCGACTGGTACTGTTGTGCCATTCGGGCAACGTAGCTCCAATTAGATTAAAAGTGCTGCTGTCGCAGCAGATTTTGTGACAGTTGCGGAGTATGAGCCAATAAATCTGTCACTGCAAATGGCCTTCATTGCGTTAACAGTACTGGTACTTGGAGCTTGTTACTAGCAGCTAGTAGGAATTATGGGGCTGGCAGCTCCGAAGTCGGCATCTTGACAATAATTTCGTCAAGTGGCATGACATTCGATTTGCCCTCTTGGTTACAGCCTCAGCAGAGTAACAACTCACTTGCGGGAAGGTTGATGGCTTGTGGGTAGGGGCCTTGAAGAGTTTCAGGGTCATGTTAAGAATGGTTAAGAGGGTCGGAGGCAGAATTAGGACATCTTTTGAGGAGACCAAGGTGCAATGCTACTTGCATGTCAACGGATCTATTCCCGGATGTCAGATGTGGGCTTGAAGTCAGTCAGTTCTTGGTGTAGCTTTGCAGTTTATACAGCCGCAGATCCCATGGATGCCCTCGAGTTCTCAAGAATGGTTTGTGAGAGTCTCTTTGCGGAGCGGATGCGTGGGTTACCAGACAGCAGGAAGGGTTTGATTCAGGAGAAAGTTACTGAAATTCTATCAGCGGCTCGGGTGACAAGCTCATCACTGAAATCGGAGACATGGAGCCAGACAGAAAGAAACCTGCGCTTCTGTGCTGAAGGCTGGGGACGTGTGGAAGATTTGCTGCACGCTTTGGCTCATGTTCGAAAAGGCCTGTCGACTGCGCCGGCCACAAGAGCACTCCCAAGATTAAACAACCTCTGTATGTCCGCGGAGTATTCTAAGAATTTGCGGAGACAGCCTGCCTTTACAGTTTGTGTTGAGCGCCTCAGTGGCCAGCAGCTTGTGCTTGACATGGGCAATCGCAATCCGTGCATCTCGCAGATCAAGGAGCGGATAGAGAAGCAGTGGAAAATCCGGGTGGACCTTCAGATGCTTATGGTGGACAGTAGGCCCCTTGAAGATTCCGAAGAGCTGCCAGAGTTCGAGAACCCCTGTCATGTCACACTGGTCGTGTCGATGCAGAAGCCATTGAGATGCCTGGAGCACAGCGACTACGCCCAGCGTCTAGCTGCGCTGCACGTGTTGGCTGCTGAGGCGAGGAAAGACGACGAGGAGGTACTTGAAGCTGTAATGAGGTGTTGTACGGACGCCAGCGGATACGTGCGAGCAAAGGCTGCCAGAACGCTCCCAGAGCTCTGTCATCACCGCAACTCAGAGGCACTGCAGGCACTCTTGTTGTTGCGGTATGACCAAGATTTTTCAGTCCAGAATGCGGCAGCTGCTGCCCTGGCAAGATTTCCCAAGGCCTGAGAACCTGCAGCTTTGTTGCTCCAGGTAGCAGAGAGAATGCTGCGTAGTTTGCTTCTCACCCAGAGAAGATGAGTCCTTGGGCAGTTGTCGGGAGCAGCATGTGCAAAGAGCTCGCACTCTTAACCCGGCAAGAAGCCAGCTGAAGGATCCACGGGTAATTCTCATTTGTCTCCATGCTCTGGGCAGCCAGTAGAGCATGCGCTAGCCAACGTCCTTGAATTGTGCCCTTGTATTACAACCTCAACTTCCACTCCAAGTAAAGTGCATAGCATGAGCACGGAGCAGTCCCACCATCATCTCATGATTACAGTCTCGCACCACTGCCGGACATGTGCATGAGCTCGAGGCGTTGCAGTGTGATGGCGCGAGAGGGTGTGGTTAGGTTCGTGCACTTTGTCAATAAACGAAAAGTACCCCACGACTCTGTGCTTCTTTAAGTGCAGGATCCTGGGCACCGCGCCGCGTTGGCACTGGTTCAACGCTTCGGCGACCTCTGCCATGAGCTGAGTCACTGAATTCTCTTTCCATCTCTTTCCATACCTTTCCATGGTGTACGCATTTGGAGGGTCGCAGGTGGGGGATGAAGTTTTTCTAATGGCTTGCAAGAATCAGCATGCAAAATCACAGCTTCTCAGCCTCCTTGCATGATAGAGGAGCTTGTGCATGAGGATACCTAGCGCAGCATTGAAGAATGACATGCGTTGCGTAGTAAGACGTGTGAGCTGCTACCAGGTCCGGACCGCTTGCTGGATGGGTTCGAGGGCACTTACTGCCGGACTCTGCAGCATGACTCACCAGAGGAGCTGTGCCAGGGCGGGGTGTCCAGAATGAGCTCATGTTGCATCAGGCTCGACAGCGCTAAGAGAGCATCACTACTTCAGGTCTGTCACGCGTGCAGGAGGCCAGCCGGAATGCCGTTGTCCGAGAGAAAAACGTGGTGCTGCTGGGCAAGGCAACGCCTCTACAGCTCAAGCTTTTGGGGCTTAGACAAGCTAGCTACTCTCCCACCTTTCACACTCATGTGTTCAGCTTGGAGTCAAACGCATTGTCCAACACGGCCAGGTTGCTGAGAAGATCCTTGAGCACAAGAAGTTTGGCCAGGATCTGCTCACTACGGAGGACCAAGCACATGCTGGCAAGCACGATGCCAGGCTACAGAAACCAGACTGAGTAACGTATCATTGTCAGTGTAAATGTAGGACCGGCGGCCCAATCAATCCGAGCACTTGCCAACTTGACCTAGTAGGCTGTGCTCCTAGGTGCTTGCCATTTTTCCCATGCGCCAATAGTAACGGTGGAAGGTTGCACTTGGTGCTCGAAGCGTTTGACAGCACTAGGACTGCTCCAACAAAGCCACCCGCGAAAGAGTGCTGGTGCTGGTTTTCCTCGCCAGGTCCGCGCTGATGCGTGTAACCAGCATTGTACCAGTGGCAGGAGTAGGTTTGTACAATCCTACTGAGCTGCCCTTTCGTAAAAGAAAGATGGCAGTTTCCTTTCACTGTGCAAGCGCTCTTGACTTCGGATCACGTATGTCGTGGCAAGACGGAGAAGCGCAGGTACGATGCTGATGCAAGCGTCAAGCGAGTTGCAAACGGTGCGCCCCCGTTTATTGCTATCATTGGCCAAGCGCCAGGAATCACTGACGCTAGGTTTCTTTGACGCGAATGCCGTGTTAGCTTTTCGGTGCTTTGCGCTTGAAGTTGCCAGTCTGGGGAGCTGTTGGCTATGGGTACCTGTTGCTGATGCGAGAGGCCTATGGAAAACGGCCGGAGGGGCGCCAAAAGTGCAGAAGGCCATCATGCCAGCAGTGAGCAAGTATGGCCCCCAGACAAGGAGGGCTCAGCTGGAAGCCTTGTGCCGTCGAGACAGCAAGGAAGGTAGGGACTGCACCACATCCTTAGAGCCAGGTCCTATCAGCAACATCAAACGCTTAGTACGCTCAGTGCTTGCCTGAGGACTCTTCTCAAGTTCCGCGGCGGCTCAGTGGGCCCAGGAGCACAGAAACTCGCAATAGAGGCCTCGCAGTGCCTGAAATGTGTGAGGACTGTGGGAATTCAGGGCCCCTTCAAAATCTTAAAGGCCCAGTGTTTAACAAGTGCTATTGACTCTGTCTTTTTTTCATGAACCTCCCATTCCTTAACAAGGCGATTATGTGGAAACCCAGAAGCATGAGACAAGACACCACTTGTTTGAAATGATTGCTCGGTTTATCCTTTATTGCCCAAGAAGCAAGGTACTAGGTGTAATGCCCCCTTGGGCTGTTTTCGTTATATGAGCTTCGATCCATCAGCAGGCCCCACATTGGCAATGATCGCAAGCAGGGGAGTCAACCAAGTCTTTGAAGCGTTTTTCTCAGCCATCAGTGCATTTTGCTTCTACTAGGTTACAGCACCATTTCGGCAAGTCAAACTTATCACGCTGACCGCAAGCCTGAGGTATTAATTCCGGGGTTCAGGTGAAATCGCAATTGCGGCCCTTGTGTTGCAGTCAGCATTGGTAGATATTGTTGCAGTTGCAGAGTTTTCCTAGCCCTGCAAGCATGCTCCAGTTGCAGTAATCCTCAGAGGTTTTCACACAAGATTTGATACTTTCTCAAACGTACATTTGAGCTTGGTGCATCTGCCTCTGCCTTGCATGCTTCAAGCCTTGATCTTCAGCGCCCCACCCCGAGATTGTCTCAGAAGTTACTCGGCTTCAGAAAACACCAGAGCAGTTCATGCGGAAGATCTCTCTCTCTCTCTCTCTCTCTTGCGAAGCTGCCTGCAAGGTTATTAGCCATGTCGGTGTTCGCGCGGCTGTCGGAGGCCTTGACCATGTGCAGCCGGCCAGATGTGAGGCCCGTCCGCACCGCCGCAGATCCACCAATGGGACCCAATGAAGCCCTCAACCTTCTCAAGGAGCCTTGAAGAACAGTGCTCCGCATGCTACGCAGCTTGTGAGGAATGTGTGAGTGTCTTGCAGGACGGCAACCGCCGCTTCGTGCAGGGACAGCCGCTTGCCAACCGCACCAATGCTGTGGTGCGACAGGAGCTGGTCGAGCTCGGCCAGGCTCCGCATACGGCCATCATCGGTTGCGCTGACTCGCGTGCTCCCCTGGAGACGATCTTTGACACAATGCCAGGCTCCGTGCTTTGTCCTGCTTCGTCTGGCAGATTCCAGCAGGTCATGTATCATCATGTATCATGTTTGAGTAGCCTGGGAGGTGACATCTTCGTGCTCCGCAATGCAGGTAACACTTGCACTCATGCTGCTCAGCTGGTTTTGAAGGTCCAAGTTTGCTCAGATGGTGCTTGCACCCGCGTCAGTATGTCAGCCCGAGGCGGAAGGCAGCATGGTGGGGAGCCTGGAGTTCTGCACTGGCAAACTGGGCAGCCGCTTGGTGCTGGTCCTTGGCCACACGAAGTGCGGCGCTGTGTATGGGGCCACCAAGACCTTTCTGGATGGCCAGGCTTCTCCTAAGAAATTCGGTTCTGCATTGGAAGGACTGTTGCAGGACCTTGGCGCAGTTGCCCAGCAGGCCCAGGAGGAAATGGGCCCTGATGCGGAGGCAGATGCCGTTGCAGCCCACGCTGTGAAGGTAAACGTCTTCCACACCATTGATTTCCTGCTCAAGTTCAGCGAGTCCATTCGTGAGGGTGTCCGTAGCGGGCAGATTGAGATCCACGGAGGCATCTACCACCTGGAGACAGGCAATGTGGAATTCATGGGCAAGAGCCCACGACAGACTGAGTTGCTGGACTCCAGCCTGCCCATTCCTCCTTCCATGGCGAACTGCCCGGAGCCTGATCATGGCGTGCACGGCGTTCGTACAGGGGCTGATGTGGCCATCAGGTCGAGGGACGCTTTGAAGCTGCTCAAGGAGGGCAACGAGCGCTTCGCAGCAGGCGCACCCACAGCAGCGACCACCTCCAGGGACATGCGTCGGGCGTTGGTCAAGTGTGGCCAGGCACCGCACAGTGCCATTGTCGGCTGTGCAGACTCACGGGTGCCTGTCGACACCGTCTTCGACGCTATGCCTGGAGACCTTTTCGTGCTCCGCAATGCAGGAAACACCTGCACTCACGCAGCTTGGAGCTACGCATTGCTGAGTGATGTTTTGGCGCAGGGGTTTTGTCTTGAGGTTCCAGCAGTTGTTTTGCCGAAAGAGTGTGCATTCGTCCGCAATGCATCACGCTCATGTGCGTGTCCCTGTATAGTAGACAGTATACTGCAGAATGCTTACCGCCGCTTGCTCCATTCTGGTCGTTCAAGGGAAACGGGCTTGCAGGCAAAAGGCAAAACTTTGGCTAGCCAAAGTTTGAGATGACGTGTGTGTCACCAAGGCGGAAGGCAGCATCGTCGGTAGCCTGGAGTTTTGCACTGGCAAGCTGGGTACTCAACTGGTCTTGGTGCTCGGGCACACGCAGTGTGGCGCGGTGGCTGGGGCCACCCAGAGCTACAAGTCCGGAGGCATATCCAAAGCGCCAGGTACGGCCCTTGAGGGCCTGCTGCAGGGTCTGGCCTCGGTTGCACAGCAGGCGACTGAGGACCTTGGTCCAGGGGCCGAGGAGGCCAAGCTCATCGCTCACGCTGTGAAGGTGAACGTCTTCCACTCCATAAACTTCCTCTTGAAGTTCTCTGAGCCATTGCGCGAGGCAGTGCGCAAGGGAGACCTTGACATCCAGGGTGGCATCTATCACCTGGAGACTGGCCGTGTGGAATTCCTTGGACGCTCGCCTCGGCAAGCAGAGCTCTTGTCCTCCAAGCGCGCTTTGCCACCATCCCTCGCCAGCGGCAACGTCCGGACCTCCCGAAGTGGTGCAGTGCTGCCGCAGGAAGCAATGGTGATGCTGAAGGATGGTAACGAGCGCTTCGCTACTGGTGCCCCGATTTCTGGCAAGGTCCATCAGAGCATGCGCGAGGCTTTGGCTACTGTTGGACAGGCTCCCCACACTGCTCTTGTTGGCTGTGCAGATTCGCGCGTGCCCCTGGAGACCGTCTTTGATGCGCTTCCTGGGGACCTCTTTGTGCTGCGCAACGCTGGGAACACCTGCACACATGCCGAGGGCAGCGTGCTTGGCAGCCTGGAATTCTGCACTGGCGCACTGAACACCCGACTGATCTTCGTGCTCGGGCACACGGCCTGCGGTGCGATCAAGGGTGCCACCAAGGCGTACCTTGCATTGAAGAAGTCCAACCCGGCCAAGGACACTTTTTCTTTCGTGTTGGCGGATGTAGCTGCAGGGAAGGGAGGGTGCGCTTCCCCAGGACGGCCAAGCGTTGGACAGGCTGCTCCTTGGCCTCAGCTCCGTGGCCGAGAGCGCAGCTTCCGAGCTGGGACGAAAGGTGCCGGGACGGCTTCCAGAAGCGTCGTTCTGAGCGACATGTACAGCCTGCCCGAATTTCCCTGCTCAGGCCACCGAGGATGAGATTGCCGCGCATGCGGTGAAGTTGAATGTCTTCCATACCATGAACTTCCTTCTGCAGTGACGCGGCCAAGTGGGTAATGCCCTGTAGTAGCTATAGATGTCAGCATATGAATCCAAGGCACAGCGAGCCAATTCGACAGAAGGCGGGTGCGGTCGTGCTGTTTTGAAGCCTTGCCGTCGCATCTCTCTTTCACGATACCAGGTGAGGAGCGGCGAATTGGAGATCCAGGGCGGCATCTATGATCTAGGAAGCGGCCGAGTGCAGCCACCAGGCTTTTTAGGCATGCCTCTTCTTGTAGTTTCTTTGCAAGATCCTGCAATCACAATCGCAAACATGCTGGAGTGATCTTCCTGCTCAGGTTCCTTGGTCAGAGCCCAGTGCAATCGAAGCTGCTCAAGTCGCAACCTGCGACAGCTCCCTCCAAGAAGGATAAGCTCCATGGGGCCTAGGCTGAGATGTTCGTGCTTCCACCAGCGAAGAACGAGATCAAGCCTTGACAAAAACATGCGAGATTGAATAACATTCATTCCTGCACAGTATGCATGCTGCTTTGAGATTCAGATACGGCGGTGTGGCACCTTAGTCACTTAGCCATCAGATCTGACGATCCCCCAAGCTTTTGGCGTTGCACAAGGCTGCACGCTGGCATCCTAATGCCAACATTTTTCTAAATTGCAAAAAGCAAGCCTGACGGTGGGCTGTCGCCCGCAGCCCGTTCCTTTTGTTCTGAGTTCTTTTCAAGGATCGGAGGTCCCACCTGCTGCCGCCAGCATGAAGAACTGGCCGCGCGCAGGCTCTTGAGATGTAAAAGCTCTATACCCTGTCTCCACAGGAGAAACAGTGTGCCCCTTTTCCGGCCCGAGCAACCCCTCGTCCCTCCCATCTATGGCTTTCGGACATTCGGAGACGCGCGGGGCGGCACTACTAGCTTGAACATTCTCTTGCCAGGTTCTGGACCAGCTCGCCAAATCTGGGGACCTGGAGGCTGTGGAGGAACCTGTTCCTGAGGCCATCTCGCCTGTCCAATCTGCACGTTAATGGCACATCTTAGATTTCAGCGCCCTTGTATTCCCTCATATGCCAGATCCTCATTAGCAATGACGCCTCAGGGCTGACCTTGATTTGGACGTGCCTTCATGCAGGAGCTGCATTGCTTGGATGACTGGCATGTGTAAAGATGTGTAGGCGCCCCTCAACTGTGGTTTATACGAGCCTGGAAACAAGAGGAAGTGTTGGGATCTGTTGCGAACTTGCAGGCGCCGAAGTTTCACTTCCCTAGCCCGGCAGAGCGTGCGCAGGGACCTTTGCTCGATCCCGCTAACAGTGCTTGTAGAGACCTGGATCGACAACACGTATGAGAGTGACTTGCCCGAAAACAAGAAGCCCCACCTGGTTCTTTGTGTGAGTTCGAGAGGAGGAGGAGAATAGAGGAGTGGCTGATACAGAAGAACCCTATTGGGGTTGAGCAAATTTTCAGTTTCCCTTCGCTCTGCTCTTCCTTTTCAAAAGGTACTGTACTTGCAGCAGAGGTGGCTGCAATAGCTCGCGGCCAATATCCTGCAGAGCAACCAGCAGTATCCTATCAAAATAAAGCAGCTCAGGCGACAGGTGAGCAGCTGTCCTGTAAGCCAAGCTCGACAGGGATCCTGTTTACTTGAATCATTTCTGACTTGGCTGCTCTGTCTGTGCCAAGGCCGGAGGGCAGCCTTCCAGCGCTCGTGGTGAATGGCATTGAACCGGAGGTTTCAGCACAGGCTGGGAGTGTGCTTGAGAGAGGCATTGCAGTATGGCTTCCCAGGGTTTCACAAGGGTCACAAGGGCCCTGCAGTGATTCAGTGAGCCCTAGGGTGAGGCTTTCGGCTAGAAAAGGATGTTGTCAAACGGTTGGGTGCGGCATATGAAGGCCTTCGCTGGAAACACAAAAGGCTTTTTTACGGCCTCTGTTGAATTTCGGTTCGTATGACCAATCTTGACACCTGCATGCCCCCCAACTGTGCTTTTCCGGACTTGCTCACGTGGATCGCCAAACCCAACCTCGGAGGACTCCAAGACTGGGGAGGTAGACGCATCTCACCTGGCAGCGAAGGCTCGTGAGGCCACGGGTGGTGGAAGCAGCTCTCATGCATCTTGGGGTGGTACAGTTTCTCAGTTTCTTGAGCAAGGCCTCATGCAACCTTGAAGCCGTTTCGGGTTTGGAGTGGCTTGCAAACAATTGTTGCACTGCTGGCTGATCTGCCGTGCCAAATCTAACCTAGACTGTCCTGGTTGTGCATTTTGACACGGATTTGCGCTGTCATGGTGTTGATCAGACACTTCCAAATCAAAACTATACGGAAACAAGGAGCAGCCACAGGCATCAATCTTGTGAGTGCTGAAAGGAGATGACGAGCAACTCGCATCTCTCGAAGCTTGTACCCTGCGTCCGGGACCACCTTGGTGCCATTGGCGCGCTGGGCACCCATTCCATATCCCCGGAGAGAGTATGTGTGCCCCCACAGGTCTGTACTCGTACCATAGGGGCCGGGTTCCTGCAGCCTAGACCTGAAAACCATGAGTTGTGGATTCCAGAGCAAGGGATGCTTTCAAGTGTGTAATGATGCCTACAACGTTGCTCAACAGGGATTACATTGCGGAGATCAAGCAATACGCAAGTAGAGCCAATGAGCTCGTAAGGACAGGACACGGAAGGCGTTGCATGAAACAAAGTGATGGGTCGTTCGGGTCCGTACGGCTGGCATGCTAAGAGGTTGGAGGATAAGGTCAGTTCATGGCGACCAAGGGGGTCGATCAAGGCTCGCGCTTGAGCAGCTTTGATACGAAGACTTAGCCAGCACGCATCAGTGTACAACAAAAACCGGCGTGAAGCAAGGAATGCATGCACAGTGCCTCTGGATGGCATGGGTCTCCCGCAACCCAACGCATCCACCTGCCAGCTGCAGGTCGATAGTGGTTGAGGGCCTCAAGAACAAGCACTTCAACGGTAGGTGGGCAAGGGCTACTTTCAGATGAGTGTTGCCTGCAGCCGAGATTTAATTAGTACGCTTCCAAATGATGAATACCTAGCCACATACTTCCATGTCCACGAAGTTCGCATCATCAGCGTCAAACTCTTGCGCGGAATCCCTTGAGCGCCACTTAGCTCAGCCTCCAGTAACTTCCGTTGATAGCTGATAGCTTTCTTGACAGTCTCGCCCTGAAGGAAGCAAGTCGCTACCTTGGCAGAGGATATGACAACTGCGCTCACTCTCTGCAAGGAGGTGCAAGCCCCTGTTGAAGTACCAAGCTAGGGCGCACGGCTGCGAAGCATACTTTGAATCTGCTCTGCAGCCTCCAAGAGGACCATGGAAGCCTCACCTTTTTTGAAGGAATCGAAGGTATGAGAAGTTTTACCTTCTGGGAGTATGCAAGGAGCTTTGCATCTGACCAGTGAACATGGACTGTGACCGTTCTGACCACAGTCCGTCATATCAATGCCCGAGTCTTTATGGCATACGCCCTACCGGTTCGTTGCATGGCTGGACAGCCATTTGTCACTGGTATGCCTGTCTCTGTGTCACTCTGATCCACGGCAGACATGCGCCCAGAGCGCACTCTGGCAACCCCACAGGCTCTAAACCTGACCCTGACACACAACTCCCCGGAAGCCTCTCTGAGCTTCTGAAGCCTAAACTTCTGAACCTTCAAAGCTCAGATCCGCTGAAAGAGGAGTGGCGCATTTAGCCGCTGTTCTCCCCCTACCAGCAGGTAAAGAATGTAAAGAAGGAAGCAGTTCCAAATCTGATGCTACTGATAGCTGGTGATGTTCTGGACGTAAGGCAACTGCCGGAATCAGCTCTTCAGGTGGGCGAAGCTCCAAAGCCAGAGAACTTCCCTGGCATCTGCGAAGCGGTAGTGCGCGCGGCCATGGGGGACCAGCTTGGGCTTAGACTGTGAAGCCTAAGGATTTGAAGCTTGGAACTTCAGGGTCGAAAGAGCATCGCAAAACTTTGGTCCGAGGTTTTATTAAGGCTCTTGCAGATGGTGGAAGCAGTGTAGCGATTGGGGAGCTGTGGAGCGAATCTCAGTTGCGCGCTGCAGCGTAGCTCATGAGCTGATCGGACACAGCATGGTCACTGGCCACGTAGCACGGGCCTTCAATCCTGTCAAGCACCAAATTCGGGTTTCAGAGCCTGTCAGGTTAACGGGCACTGGGCGCAAAGCGTTTGTTGCGTCCTGCATCATATCCTAACACTCTACGGTCTCCGTGATTGTTCTGGGGGCGGGGTGCAGAAGAGGCGGCAATCAATGCAGGGCCTTTTACAGCAAGAAGCTCGCGTTTGGAGAGGGTAAGAGTTTTCATGCAGCCTGCACATAGCAGCGTTCCCTGCGCCCTGCTACGCCAAAGACCTCCATATGGTGTATCCACACATCGCAACGGCAGGAAGCCTTTGATGCCCATGCTGATGGAGAAGACGACGACGATGAGATGCTGTTTGGAGCCTAGATGGGGCTGGTGTCATCTTCTGTTACGCATTATTTAGTTGGAGGCTGACCACAGGTTCTGTGTGTTCTTGACCTTGGGGCCATGGGCCATGCGGGTCTTCTGGCAGATGCAGGCTCTGAGTTCTGAGCACCAGCACGATGGGCATCAGAAGTTCACGACGCAGCTCTTTGTAGGACAAGTGTCCAGACATTCACCTGCATTGATGTCAACGTCCGTGGTCGCTGTTGCCTAGCATGTTTGGGTCCGACGAAGGCCTTGCAGCCTTTTTTCTCCCTCCCTGGTTTTTGTTCCTTTTTCTCTCTGTCCCTCCGTCTTTGCACCTGGGCTTGCAAGGTGTGCCTGTACGCTGTACAAGTCAGCACTGTGAGGCTCCGGGTGGAGAACCTGCTGCTCATGTATGGCGCCGGCCATCTGCTGCTCAAGGATAGCCTTTGTAAGCTTCCCTACACCAATACCAAAGTCACACTTGCTTACCTGAAGCAATGAATGGGTTCGGAGGGGTCATTCGTCACGGGCTCTAGCTGCGAGTGGTGCACAATGCAGTCTCGTTTCGAAAGATGTTATGCGGCGTCTACATCACTCCCCAACCAAACTACTTTCAACAGGCTAGGTGCACTTAAGCCATGAAGCGTTAGCTTGTCTTTCTTGCGTCGGGGCAGGACACGACGCTGGAGATGCGAAAGAACTGCCGCTACGGTGTCGTAGGCAGGGCAACTCACCTTCCCTGGCTTCAAAGAATGAGTGCCAGTGCCCACTGCACTTGTCCTCTGATCGTTTGTCTCGTGCAAAGTGCGCTTTGTTTCATCAGTGTCGGCGCCTCAGGCCATAACGGAGCTGGCAAGACGACCCTGATGAAGGAGATCGCCGCGCATCGCATTGTGGGCATGCCGCCGGACCGGATTGCACGAATGCTTGGGGAAAGGCCGCTTTCAAGTTCAAACATACTGCAAGCCTGGTCGCTGCTGAAAGTTGTTTTCTGCAAGCACGATCAACCAAAACCTCACCGACATCTCCGAACCCTCTCACTGCTGGTTTTAACGGCTTTTTGCCGGGCCGAGCCCATGGAGCAGAGCGAGTGCATATCGCAAGGACTTGAAGTGCGTGCATGTGGACGACTCGAAGCTCGGGGAGATGAGCAAGAGCTATCTCACAGCCTGGGCCCCATTTGCAAGCAACAATCAGCTCCCCTCAATCACTGGCCCTCACACCGACAGGCTCTCGAGTACTGCATCAAGATGGCCAAGGCCAGTGGACAACCTTTTCAGTTGAGCTCGCTCCAGCTGGGTCAAGGTGGAAGCAGGATTTGGAATCAGTTGTGTAGATGCAGACATCAGGATGGTGAGAGCCCTGACAGGATATTGGCGTGAACAACGCCGGCCGAGACACGTTGCTGAAGGCCAAGCTCTCCAGTATGCTTTCTAGGCTAGCAGGGCTAGAGGCACCTCCTTCGCAGCATTCTGTGGATTAGGTTGGCTTCGACGAGGGCCGCCTGAATGACCCCGTTTCGGAGCTGTCGACAGGATGGAGGCCAGCCTGAAATCCTTCTCTCTGATGACTTCCTTCGCTCCACTGCGGCATCTCCAACGGAAGTGGAGGGTTGTACAGCTTGAAGCGACAATTTGGGCTTCGAGTCTGGATGTTCACTGTTTAGGCCTAGCGGATAGCCACCGTACCCTTTACCAGAGTTTTACAACAGGGTTCCTCTCGTGCTCGTGGAGCCGAAGCACGCAGGAATGCAGTCAAGATGAGAGCAAAGTGAAGTCTGTGCTCATAGGGATCTGGCTCAGATCATTAGTTTGCACTCCTCCTCGCCTCCATTTTTCTGATTTCCATCACAACTAAAACATGAGACGTAATTACTTTGTGGTGGCGGCGACCATGCTGGTGTTGTTCTCAGATGGAAGCTAACACCAGTACTTCGACGAATAGTACCTAGTAGAACTGATAAACAACTACTGCGCTTATGCTGCTTTTGATTTTGTTCTTTGCCAACTGGGCTTGAAGGATGCGCTTAACCCTGGCCGTGTCCATGCTGAAGCATGCGGACCTTGTACTCTTGGATGAGCCTACGCTGCTGACTTAGCGAGTGCCGGGCTACTTATTCTCTGCGAGCAACACGTTTCGCGCGACTCATTTCTAGCGGTCGGGAAGCTGTGATCTCAATGCTGGGAGTTCTGGTCGAACCTCAAAACAACAAGGAACCACCTTGACGAGGAGTCCGTCCACTGGCTAAGCGCCGCTGCCTCAACGTCTCAAGTTTGTGCCTGCCAGCACCTTTTTGCTTTATCAGCTCTGATGCCACTGCTAACAGCCAAGGACTACATCCTGTCAATTACATCGTCCTCTGTCATGGCGACTGCGGCCTGTGTTCCCATGGTGCTTGGGTATTTGGCCTTCCGATGCTAAGGCGTTTTGTTGTTTCGGCTAATCTTTTCAGCATCCTGCAGGATTTGTAATGTCAGCTTGCCGCAGTGTTGGTGACGGTGCCAGGTCATTTCGCACGAGCCCAAGTTCTTGAACAAGATCTGCACCCATGCCAGTTCCCCAGGGCTGCCAATACGACTCTTAAGTGGCATCGCAGCATGCAGCTCAGCATTGCTCAGCTATACCGTTGCAAAGGTGGTTGCCTACGTGGACAAGAAGCTGGAGTACACAGAAGGCGCTTGGAGCATTTTCAGTCAGGGGTGAGCTCATGGCTGCCAGGCAGATTTAGCATCCTCTTTCCCACTGCACAAGGCAACTTCGACACCTTCGCGATGAAGAAGGGTCTGAGCCGGGACCGTCATCTCTCAAAACTCCTCAAGCAGTTGAAGCAAATTCACGCCGAACCCTTTTGCATGCGTGCTAGCGAAACTGCGAGTTCTCTCGGCAAACGGCACGACTGAATCCTAGCTTAGTTCAACTGCAGATGGCAGATGGGCAACAATGTTGAACATACCTCAGGTGGAGGTTCTGCAGCTGAAGTTCTGTTCAAGCATGGAGTGCCTCTTGGGATCCCAGAGCAAGATTCGCAGTGTTTTGTGCATCAGGAGCAAATCGATGCGATGTTGTCTGGCAACCTCAGCTTCGACACTAAGAAGGAAGGCGAAGATGAAGAGGAAGGAGGCCGCAAAGATGCCATCAGCTTTTGGAAGGTTCAGGGATTGTTGGGTGGGGCATTGCGTATTCGCCACGACGCTGTATGCAGCCGTCCTTCACCAGAAGACGCACTTGTTCGACAGGTGGAGATTCCAGTTTGGGCTTTCGCTTAAACACAACTGCAGCTTCTGACACCTGCTGGGAGGGCGTTGGGGTAGTCACGTCTTGCTTACAAGATGCTCCCGCTACACTACACCATTGGGTGGCCTGCCTTCCTTGACTTGTTCTTGCGTGTCGTACTTCGCAGAGAAGCTAAATCCATGTATCTAGGAGGGGCCAGCGTCTTCCTTTGCACCCCCGCTAAACCCCCCGGGGCTCAAAGCCAAGCCCACGTGCCTCTTATTTACCTGGGCTGGACTACTACAATCTATAATGCTACTTCCACTGCTACTACTGTTGATTGATGAAATCTTGCAACACTTGAACGGTTCCTTAGTACCCAATTCTCCGCACCCTCAGCAGTGACGGTGCGTCAAGGGAGCCCAAATGCCCAAAATCTTGCATCACGTCTTCGTGCAGTATTGAAATGGGGTGTGGGCTTCTTATGGTTGGTGGCAACTTTCTTTAGCATAGAGTCTCCATCCGTCGTGCCCCATTCACCGTCATAGAGGTAGTGGTGGTAGTGGTAGTAGTGGTGGTTATGGTGGTGGTGGTGGTGGTGGTGGTGGTGGTGGTGGTGGTGGTGGTGGTAGTAGTAGCAGTAGTAGTAAGTAGTAGTAGCAGTAGTCGTGGTGGTGGTGGTGGTGGTGGCGGCGGTGGTGGTGGTGGTGGTGGTGGCGGCGGCGGCGGTGGTGGCTGCTGCGGCACCACGTACTTTGCGCTAGGTCATTTTGCGTATTGGGCGCAGGAAATGCGGTCCCTGCGAGCAACTTGCATGTTCTCAGTGGCCCTCCTTTGTAAAACTGTAGAGAACATGTTGGCTGGGGAAGTCCTCTTACAACCTTTCACAGTCTTGAATGCGAAGGATATGGGAAGATCGTTTGCTGGCCCTCCTTCGTTGCTGTGCAAATTTGCTGCAAGAAGGTCGATTTCCCACCCGCCCCCAACGCCACCCCGCGAGACAACTCTTGCCGAAAAAACATTTCACGCAAGGTGGTTATTGTGGGGCCTTGGACCAGCAAGCCCCCGCTACGTTGTTGGCGCCAAGTATCCGAACTTGTCCAACGACACGTCAACGCAAAAGCCGTCATTTCTGAGGTCGTGACAACTGCGAAAAGCCTGATGCTCACTGTCTACGGAGTAACCCATCCTTCATTGCAGGACCCAACAGCATTGGCGTCAAATGTGCCAGGTGCAGGTGCTGGTGCTGGTGATGCTGGCGGTGGGGGTGTTAGGGGTGGCGGTGGCGGTGGCGGCGGTTGTAGGGGTAGTATGACGCTCATACTGGGAGTGGGGTGGTCGTGGTCGTGATAGTTCTAGCTGTAAGTAGTCGTGGCACCAGGGATGGGGATGGCACAGCAGATTGAGTATGAACGGTAATGGAAAAGGATCGTCAGTATTGCATGATACACATGAATAGGGAAATCAGCCTTTGACTTATTGCCAGGTGATGTTGCCAAGGTGCGCATCTCAGCAAAAAGACGCATCCAAACATACCTGGGAATTGCCAGACACCAGCATGATCACCTCTGGAGTCCAGAGCAGGACTTGAAACACAGGTCTTGCGCATACCTTAGCGGTCTAGACCTGGACTGAGATCTAGGTATCTTTTCGACAGCTGAGCTCAGAAGAAGACCTAGACACGTCTCGCCATCCTGCAAGATCAGCACCACGCAGCGTATTGTACCAGCGCGGTTCTCATTCTCTGAATGTAGCAAAGGTCTCAGCCCCAGTGGCCGGGCCGCCAAAGCTCACCTTCCCGATTCCTGGGTCCATGGAGGGTGTCAAGCCTGTGTCTCAGCAGTCTCAACCAAACGAAGGAAAAGTCATAGCAGCTCATCTATGCGAGCACGGATGCACATTGCAGATTTTGTTGACATCTTCCACATTCGTGCTACGATAGCCGCTTTGAGTTGCCACCGTTACTGCTGGGATGGCTTTCAAAAGGTGTTTTTGATCATGCCACGCTTACATATTAAGCATCACGGCTTGGGCCTGGCTAGCCGCCTGGAAGTGAGAAACTCCTCGAGGAGATTCCTAATTAGTGTCGGGGGTGGTTCCGTAATATGTCATTTCAGAATCTCTCTCTCTCTCTCTCTCATTCTCATGGCCAAGCCTGCGCAGTGGGTCCTGGCAAATTTGTAGCTCATTCTACGTGCTGTGGCTCGTGCATAGCCTGCGAACCTCGGTTTGCTGGAATGTCGACAAGGCAACTAGGATGTCTTAGCACCATCCGCCATTGCTTGCCCAAAGTGCAGAGAAGATGTTGCAGAAGCTTGCAACAAAAGTCTCAGAAGCTCAGATACTTCCTGCGAATGAACTGAGCCTGTGCAGTTTCAAACCATGGCAGCTAAACATATATCTCAGGACTGGCTCCAAGAGTGTGCTCGAGATCAAGCTGCGGCCTGAGCTCGTTACCGATGCATTGGCCAGAATCGACCCATGCTGTTTTTGTCTGCCACTCCTGCCGAGTGTACCACTCAGCGATGAATAGTTTGGAGACCTCGCCCCACAGATGCGTCTTCGAGGTGTTGTGGTTCGGCCTCTTCCAAACGTTGAACTCTTCTGCTGAAACCCCGAATCCAATGCTGTTTAGTCAGGCACTGAGACTGACCGCAAAGCTGTTGTCTTGCTCTGTCACTTGAGGCACGTGTCCTTCCGCTTTTCGAAGGACAAGGCCTGGAGTGTCCACGGGCAGCTTGAGCATCAAGTGTTCGGGATCATCGTGTCAACTTGACGCCACCCTGCTGAGTCAAGCACGTGACCGACAAAAACAGCCGTTACACTCCCTTGATCGTAGAAGTCGTTGTCCAGGCTAGTACAAGTAGGAATGTTGGCTAGTCCCCGCATTATGAAAGCCATGAGGCAAGTCATGCTGGTCTCAAATCATGACAATCATGATGCTGGTGGTGATAATGCCGCGTCTCGGCGCAGGACTATCTCTTGAAGGATTGCTCCGGCAAGCTCAGTCTGAGCTCGCGGGTTGCCATCTGTGGCAGGACTCAGACATCTTCTAAACTATGTTCGAATAGTTCTTCAGCTGTCAGAGTCTTGCTGCGGAAGGAATGGGTGTGGCAAGTCGACCCTCATGACACTGCTGTGTAGTGAGCACGGGCCCTAGACCAGCTGTTGCTGCCTTGCTCTGTCGACTTGAGTGTCATGAGTCAGAGAATTCCAGGCTGCATCCCTCAGAGAACAAGGATGGCTCTCACGGTGAGGCAGACGGTAGTGCTTCTGCTAGTTGATGCTTCGCTTTTCGGTGAGGTTAGAAGGTATTCACAACCACAAGTACTTGACTCGTAAGACAGATGGCGTGAGTTTGCTAAAGCCAGCAAAGACCTGAAATCCTCGAGCCCTAGCATGAGCCCTCAGTTCTCAGTTCTTTCTGACAGCTGCTTGGTTTGAGGGATGTCTTGGAGAGAAGGGGCTTGCAGGTGTGGCGCCACCACAATCTTCGGCTGGCGTACATGAAGCAGGATACTTGACCTGAAGCTGTGTAGATGCATAGTGCCGAAGCAGCTGACAACATCACAACGCTCGCCTAGAAAGCTGACAGCCCAACAACCAGCCTGACCAGTGGCAACAACAGATTCTTTTTGGATGCTGCGCAGAGGCCCGTAGATGAATAGCAAGAGCAAACGTTCGAGCAATGCTCTACCAGAATAAGCATGCCGTGCATGCAGCTGATAGCAAGGCTCAGACTACTCAGACGGCCAACGAAACTTGGATGTCGAAACACTGCTGATGCCAGCCAGAAGTCTCAACAGGATCACCTCAAGGCCTTGGGCCCCTTCTTCGACACCTCACCGCCCAGTCCTCAACATGCGTGAACTTCGGACGAGAGGGATCCAAGTGGTGAGAACGGTATGGGAACCTCCAGAAGAGGTGATGTTAATAGCAGATATGATGATCAGGCCCATAGTCGGCGATCGTTTTGTCAAAAGCGTAACAGAAGGGTTGGCGCAGAGGGGCTAGTCATTGGACGTGAACCTTGCATTCCTCATCACCGTCATCGCTTTGAACGCTCGTTTCCTGCTGGGCGCCCTTTGTGTCTCTGTGTCACGGTGGTTTTAACTTAGCGTCAGCATTTGTATTCGTTGCTCCCTTCGGGTTACAAATATTTCGGCACTGAATTCATGTTTCTGTTGCCTCCAGTCTGTATTGCGTGTGGGCTTCACTCCCTGCTTTAAAAAAAACTGGAGGACGCGATATACTTGTTTTGTGCGTGGCCCACCTAGAAGACGCTGATACCAGGCAATGCCTCGGTAGCCCTGTGCATGGCTGGCCAGGTTTGTGTACATTACCGAGCGCTTCAAGGACAAAGCCGTGCTTGCTTGCTGGTCCTGCTGTATCGTGTGATGCTGACACCATTGCCTGCTCTTCCACACAAGAACTTGCAGTAGCACCGAGAGAAAACATCCCGAGTTGGGTGGGAACGTTGAACGTTGTGTACTTGATCAAGTTCGTATCCTAGCCCAGAGCGATGGCTACTCACCGGAGCCATACTTATTAAAAGGTGAGGTTATTATTCTAATCGTGGACAACGATCCTGTTCCAGATGACCCCCCACATTCTTGACTCGAGCAGAGCGGCTGAATTTCACTGCCACAGCTAGAGTGCTCGTAAGCATGCAGAGCATGCAGGATGGCTATGATGGCGATCTCCAGAAGAGGCTGATCGAGCCCAGCCCTTGGCATTGCTCAGAGGCCTTGCCGTTCTGATTGACGTTAGTAGCAATAGGATTGTGATGTAGACTGTGGTGATTTTGTTGTTGTTCCTCCTCCTTGCCCCCTTCTTTTCAAATATCGTTCAGCTGCAGCACCTACAATGTTTAGGGCTTACGATTTCTTAGCTGACGGCCGGTAACACATGAATGATATTAGCTTTTGCCTCTCGAATGTAGCCAAAGGTCGCCACCTCCAAATGCATAGGCGTGTGCATGAGTTTGTTTCTCTTGGGTTTTGAGTTGCGGGTTTGGAAGTGTGGTACGTGGCAGCTGCTCTATGATAGCAGGAGGGTGCCTTTGTCCTGTGGTTCAAGTCAACTTTGCAACTGAAGCGTTCCAAGGCCAGAAGACGAAGAGGACGCCCTGCGGCGAAAGGCGGGCCCTGCGCAGTTGCAATCTGAAAGTCCTGCATCCTCTTGGTTTCATGATTGTTGTGCAGATTTTGGAGATGCGGCAGAACCATTACCACTGCCGTCTGTATCCAAATCTGTGCGCCCCATGGCCACGATTAAAAACTGGAACCAGCAACGGACTTCATGAAGTTTGATCTTTCCCTGGCATGGATGCGGAGAAGCTTCAGCGCCTTGATGTTGTGACTTGTTACTGAGCATGCCACCAACCCAAAATCAGAGTAGTTGGTCGCAGTTCTGTTGATGTTGTGTTTGCAGTTGAAACGCATGCAAGTCGGGTCAGCCAACTGTACACTGTACATCTACTTAACTAACTTTCAAGTCAAAGACAAATTACCTTTCTGCTATTAAACCTCAAGCCCTGATGAGCGCTGAACCTTACAGATTAAACTTGAGACTAAAGAGATTGATTTATCCAAAGACCCTCGATCACGCGCGTTATTCGCAATCAGGACAATATTGAAGGTAAGTTATCGTGACAAAAGGAAAGGAAGATAGATGGTCTATAGTCTATTTAGCCTATTCATGTTTTTGCCACCTGTCCTGCACGAGCTTGGAAAATTCTGCGCAGAGCCTCGTTCTGCAGTTCTCAGCCATGGGTCTTTCGAACAAGTGCCGCATGCGCAGGAGCTCGCAAAGCAGCACGGCAAGTACGGGAACGAAGTAGCCGAGCTCGTGAGCCGAACGAAGGCCCGGTTTGGGCTGCTTGAAAAGGACAATGGAAAAAACAAACCTTGAAGTAAGAAAGGTTAGAGTTCTTAGTCTTAGCCAACGTCCTATTGCCAAACGAGCGTTGCAGCATTGACACATTTTCGCCCATTTTAATGGAGCCCTTCTAGCACGGTATGTTCAGTCTACCTTGCAATTCCTTGCAAGTCTGTTGAGTCCGTTTTGTAATGAATGCTGGCAACGTCGATGCTGCAGCCGCAGGTGGGAAACCATTTGGCCTATGAGGTACGATGGGCTGGGAGCTTAGCATGAACGCCTGTCTAAGGCCACCTTTGAATTTCTTTCATTGCGCCCAGGAAGGCCTCGATGATCCAAAGCAGAACACCGTGGAGCCCATATCCAAGCTGAAGGCGTAAGGGCTTGTTCACAATAATCTTGCTTGCTTGGGTATTATTCTCCTGACTCTCAAGCACGCGGCTGGCACTCAAAGTGTTGCTGGTACATCTTCATATCCATTTGTTCCGCTTTCTATGAGATGCGGGCGTAGTGGGTGTAGGACTGCATCTGGCGCTCGCAAAGTAGGCACCCCGATTTGCAATCCCAAGCACAGACCACCGCAACCATGCTATATGAATTGTGCGTCCTAATCCCAGGAGCACCAGTAAGTTCATGTGTACCTCGTGCCAACCCTCCAAAATGATGCTGAAAGTCTGTCAAACGGCATGCTCAGCCAATCGCAGAACATAGGGCCAACCCATACTTACTTGTGTCAAATCTTGAACCTTGGCTTATTCTGCTGTACATCCCCATTTATAGTCCCCCTTAAGTAGATGGGGATCTTATTATAATATAATACCCAAAGCCATATTCTATATACTTAAGGCCCAGGAACCAGAGCCCTGGGGTCCTTTGGCCAGGCCATGGGTTTGGACAAGGTCATCATCGCCTGCGATGAGCGGATCGCGGCCAAGGCCGGTATGAGGGTTGATGCTGGAGATCTTAGGGGAGATTTGTGGATTAGAAAACGGGAAGCTATAGGGATTATGGGGGTCATATAGGGGCTTATAATGGTTTATATTTCAGGGTTATATAGGGGCGTACATGGGGATTTGTCAAAGGGAGGCTTCGAACCAAGGCTTGGGTCATTGGAGAGGCAGGGCTGAGTATGAATCTGAGCTTGTTGTAAGATCACCCAACTGGAGGATGAAATTAATGCACTCAGTCACACTGCAGGTCAGTGAAGTGGCTCGAAATCTTGTAGCCAATCATGACATCCAGCATGATCTCATGCTCATTTTTCTGCCCATGCGTAAACCTCAAACGGCTTGACAGAAACCAGATCCCCAGCCTGCCGCGCGGTTGCCTCTGGGACTCCCTGCTGTTCTTTCACCAGAGGTAGTGTCTGGCAAAGGATCCAGGCTAAAATAAACTCTGAAGCCTGACCACTATCTCCTTTGCCGTTGTCTGACTCAAGAAGCTATCCATCCAACTCTGAAGTTGAACAGGGGTCTAAAAGTAAAGCTCTAAGCAGAAGCGCATGCATGCCCGGCTTTACATCAACCAGGCGGCCGGCCTTGATCAGCGGCCGCTCACCCGGCGAGAGATTGTCAGGCGGGGGGGGGGGGCTGTCAGGAATCAAGGAAGAATGCAGGCATAACATGGGATCTGGTGCGCATAGAAACCCCACCCAAGCTATCGCTTTTCAATGCTTTTTGTGCAGATGTTTCTCGAAAGCCTTTTGCGAAGTGCAGGGAGGGAGCTGCTATGAGCTGCTACAGCTGTGCCTCGGCATGCCTCGGCCCATCACAGGCACTGCGAGGCATTCGGCATTGACGAGGCCGGAAAGCCAAGCAGTATCGGAGTATCTGCTCTGAAGACAGTTTAGCAGGAACAACAGCACAACAGAAGCCAAATGCCGCTCAGAATCTATTGTTGACAAAAGGGAAGTTTGCCGGCGCAGCTTGTCGCTGTTCTGGATTTCAACGACTTCTGTCAACTTCTGTCACCCTTTGACCGCAGATGTGATGTCAATGTGTTTTCATCCAGGAGATGTGCTGCAATCGTCAGATTCGTGGCTTCTCAGCGGGTCAGAAGGCCTGGAAGGAACTGAAGGAGCGTCGAGATGTCAATTGAGCCATGTGGACTATGCTTCCGACAGCAAGCCTTTGATTTCATCAGAAACTTGTGACGCTGCCAGCTCAGCTCATTCAGTCCAAGTTGCACAGCCATGCTGCACGTCAGCCCCCCGTCGTCCGTGCATGCCAGGTGCGCTTGTCCCTAGCAGCCATGTTTTGGACCAAGCCGTCTGGCCCTCATTTGGGGACAAGACTCGACCAGATGTAGCCAAAGCAGTCACATGAAGGTCGAAGTTCATGGAAACGAAACAGTGTAAATGCTATGTGGCTTCGAACAGGCTAGCAAAAGGATCACTAAAGTGTGGGAAGCATGCAGCAATCCTGTTAGATCTGTCCTAATCGAGAAGGGAAGCCTTGACGCCTTTGTAAATCGCGCGAGGCACTTTATTGCCGTGGATGAGCCCACGAACTACCTGGATGTTGAAACAGTGGATGCGTTGGGCAAGGCCCTGGCCCAAGCTTCTTCTGTTTTTGGGGTCAGGACTGGTGGAGTGAGCAGCTACTCGTACCCATCGGGTCGCTGCGTCGCACATGTGGAAGTCTGCTTTGCAGGCCCGTTTATCCCTATCTGGCACCATACATCCCTGTACAGTCCCTAAGATATGTTGAGAAGCCCCGATGTGGCAGCCTTACAACGTGTCCCCCAAAGACTTTAGAGGCTGATCAGTCTGAAATCCCTTGGCCCGTTTCTTGGCCAACATCTTCAGCACATGAGTCCTTATGCACTCATACTGCCCTTGCCATGACTCTGCAGACCTCGGTCTGCTGGTCAACGTGTTAATTTTTGGTATGAACTGACACTGAAATTACATGTTTTCTTTTGATCAGCTTGGGGCAAAGGATTCCATCCACAAAGCTCGCAAGGCACTGACAACTTTCCGTGGTGGCATCATCATGATCGAGCCCAAGACAGACTTTGTGGAGCGCATCTGCAACGAGAAGTGGCTCTTGGAGGAGTGCTCTTGCCAAGTGGTGGGAGTGGAGCAGACATCATGTCCAGGGATTTCACGCTGCACAGCTGGGCTTCCCACGGCAAAACATCGCAGGATGGAGTCATGAAAGTCGAGAAGCTCAACAACGGTGTGAAACGACAGGCCTAGGAGCACAGCAGAAAGCCATTTGGGCATCAGGTTGTTTATGAAAAATCAGCGTTCATGTTTGCAGCTATGCCTGAAGGTGTCAGATTTGGTAAGAGCAGTGTAAGCACTGTAGTGTTCAGGAATGGGCATAAAGATGCATCACTTGCCTGTTTTCCATCAGGCTTTCCTTTAAGCCTGTTTCGCTGCAGAATCTGCAGCCCCGCCTTTTCGGTTGCGGCGTAGCCTCTCTACGAATGACGCAGGGCACTGAATCCCTAATCTTAGATCGGATCGCCCATTGAAGGTTTTGGTAGCGCTCAGGCGAACCAGGCCAGAACCAGGCATGAGGATACGCCGCGCAGCCATGCGCGGGTTTCTTCTTGAGTCCAACGAACTCGTTTGGCAGGCCAGGGCCTGAAGGGGCCGCTGGTAGGTCGTGCGATTTTGGCAGATGGCGCTGCAGTTCTGGCATACTCCAACTTTTGGCTCTAAGAGTGAGGGTCAAAATTTTAAGGGGACGGTATCTTTATGCCTTGCAACGTACACGTTTTGGCTGCCAACATGCTGCCAGTCGCTTTTTCCCGAGACCGGATTAGTGAGACCGGCCTAGGTGCCGGCTGATCCTGTCATGGTGGTAGCTGCTAGAAGCATCTACAAACCAATTGCATCCGCATGTGGTCAGAATGCATGCTTCCGCATATGCGGTCGTAACGTGCAGAGCATACTATCTGCAAACTGTCGCGGGCAGTGCCACAGAATGGCACTGCCACATTTGGCCGCCAGGTAACTAGATGTCCAGGCCACTGTACAGCAGAGGAAGTGCTGGCAGCGAGCCAGAAGAGGCAGTCGGCGCAAAGGAGAGCCTCTGGCTTCGGTCTCCATACAATTTCATACAGAAACCTTAGCCTCACCTTTTTTTAGCCATGGCACTGTCCACCAACACAGCAGTAGGTCTGCTGCATTGAAGCAGCCAAGCCAGTTGACATAGATCATGACGGGGTTTCGCTGCTTCCCCGCAAGTATTTGCTTGCATGCTTGCGGTTGTGGGCTCAGCTGGAGCAATCGATGTGTTTTGTACCGCCCATGCCCTTCACATGATCTCTGAAGCGTCCTCAAACCGCTTGCCCGAGCTGAACTCTCAGCGAACAAATTGGAGGAGGTTTGTAGCGTTCTTGCTATGTCAATGTGGAAGCTTGAAGCAGATCTCAGCCCAAATGTCGTAGTCGGAAGTAGATCGAACTCTAAAAGCCTTGTTTCGTCCATAAAATCATCGGCGTGTCGAAGGCTACCGTTGTCTCTGCTTGAAGCATGGTAAGTACAGCTGAGGGTCTTATAGCCTGCTCGCCTGACAGGCACGTTCCGTCCAGCGCTCTGGGAAACATCCTTTCCTTGACTGCCCGGACTGACTCTGAGAAGGCTCAGTGGAGTAAAATCTTTCACCTGAACCCTTCGCCAGGGGCCTGGAGCACCGTGACAATAATAAACGCCATCGCTCTACTGCAGTCGAAAGATCACAATTGCTTGTTGTCTCAGAAGCGGGGCTGCGGTTGCAGCAGCAGCAGGAGGAGGAGACGTAGGATCAGGAGGAGGATGAGGAGGAGGAGG